ATCTCAAGTACACAAAGATAACATTCCAATGCTTATTATCATTTCAAGTACACAAAGATAGCATATCAATGGTCATTATCATTATCCTAACATGCAATAGACACAAACATTCTATTCATGTTCACCAATTTCATCCATCATACAACATATATCAGATGCAATTTATCAAAATCACTTATTCCTACACTGACAACCTTCACATAAAACAACCCATAGGGAGTTCTACTACTCCAATCACTCTCATCCTTATCTCATATATGAAAGACAAGAAGATTTTCTAAGACTTTCATGAAGAACTCGGGTTCTAATTCCCTCATATGCCATGTTAAAAATTGTAAAAACCGCAACCATTTTCCTAAATGCTAATAGCTTGACCTTTGCTCACTAAAAGGTCATAACTAGAGCTCTAGACCATCTTTTTAGGTGATTCCGATGCCATTGGAAAGCTAACATCCAAGGCTATAACTTTCATGAAGACCCTAAGACCAAATTCGATTATCTAACCCTGACATTATAGCGCTCAATTCAGCACTCCAGCTCAGACTTTCTGTCAGTTTTGTTTTCTCCCAAGCTGCAACGCACAACTTGGAGTTGCAACTCCAAGTCTCTACCAAATCCATTTCTCCCATGGCTGCAATGCCCACCCTGGAGCTGCAGTGCCAGATTTCGGCCTCCCTATTTTCTCACATAGCTACAACGTTGGTTTAGAGCTCTAGTGCTGAGTGCAGAGCTTACAACATTTTCATGACTTCCCACCTTTGTTTTCCCTATAATCCATCAAAAACCTGCAATCCAAGGACCCCCAACACACGCAACTACACAAATACATCACTACTAATCACATGCAACACAACAACTCCAAGAAACACAACATACATGCATCAAGATTTCAAGAGATCATCAAGAACAACAAGGTTTCAACTTTTTCATGTAACCAACTACATATCTACCCCCAAAGCTTAAATTTTTAGAAATCCAACAAATTGTAAGCTTCAATTCAATCAACAACCCAATATTCTAGCTTCCCTTATCTTAGAAGGAAAAGAATTCCGGTTCCGAGCTCACGGGGAAGAGAAGAAAAAGAAGAAGAGAAATGGCACGGGAGTCTTCCTTTATATATAGCCTAAGCTCCACACCTACTTCAACAACCTTCAAGAATCACAATGAAGTGAATGAGTCTAATACATTTGGGGTTCAAAAGTAAGAGTGAACGAGAAAGAAAGGAAAATGAGAGGAAAAATGAGCAACAATGGGAGAAAGTTGTGCGGGTCTTACAAACTACAAATAAGAAATGATATCTATATTGTACATCATATAATAATTTTTAAAATTTGAAATCTAAAATAGAACTAAAAAAATAAATTTAACCCTATTAAATATAATAAAATATAATGTCATTTTATACTATTTTTTTAGCAAAATTAAAGTTACTAAATTAACCCTAATTTAAACATATTTTGAGAGAAAAAAATTCTTCAAATATTAACAGCTTTATATCATAAAATTAAGATATTATTTAAATGATATTATTAATAAAAATATTTATTACACTTAATAAATATTAAAATATTTTTATTCTCTATAATTAACTTATTTTATATTTTAATTCTTATATTTTGAAATATACATTTCTAGTTCATATATTTGTCTTTTTCTATCCATTTTAATACTTATGATTTACTATGGTTTTTTAGTATTTATATATATTTTTTAATGTTTTAATTCCTATTATTAATTTTTTTAATATTATTTATTTTTTGTAGATGTGATAGAACCCCAATTTTTTTAGGATAATTAAAAAGTTTCCATAATAAGCATTACTGGTGAAAGTAAAAAATATATATAAAGTATCAAGAGATTTAATTTAGAGTAATTTTAGTAAAATAAATTCAACATCAAACACATAATTGAATTAATATTGTTATCATATTAATATGAAAGAGGCAACATTACAAAAAAAAATTGATGACAGACTAAAAAAACTAAAAAGAAACTATAAATATAAGACTTAAAAGGATTTATCTTAAATTATAAAAACTAAAATAATATTAAAAGAATAAATATAAAAATTAACATATTTATTTTAAACTACATAAACTAAAAAATTATTAAAAAAATAAATATAAAATCAACGTTAATACATTGATATAATTTTTTTTATGCCCATATTACACTCCACCTTGGGTAACATGTCAAACTGCCCACGCTAGCATCCATCTAGAACTTAACCTTTATAAAGAGAAGAATTACTTAATGAACTTTGAAAGGAAAAACAAGAACCTGTCTTCTTCTTTGACCTATGCAAAACAGATAGTATAAGAGCTTCCAAAAATTAAAGAAAAAAAAATGCAATACAAAAAATAAAGCAATGGAAGAGAAAGGTCCTAAAACGGTGGTTCGCGGTACCTGAGGTGGCAATTTTATAAATAAAAAAAAAACACAAAAAAGATATTTTTTTATAATAAAAAAAAAAAAGCACAAATGGTGGTCCGCAGTATGGAGCAATGCAAGCGGTGACGATCAAAGAATTTTTTACAGAAATATAATATTTTTTAAAAAAATTACCCAATTCAATTCCTACTTAAAATTTAGTAATAGGGGTTGATTCACGTTTAAGTAAGGTTAGAAGTTTGAATCCTGCTTTATGTATGTAACTACGTTAAATCTTGAAGTCAACTATCCCACCTTTTGAGATACCAGCTCCAACATAACATGGAAATTAATACTGCTATTAGATACTCTAGGAACGAGAAAAAAAAATCCCTACTCAAAATTCGATTTCTCGAAATTCCAATAAAATTTTAACGCCGGTCAAACTAGCATATAGGTCAGAATTCGAGTCTATGATAATCGAATTCTGATAAATAGGTCTATTTAGATAAGTGCATTCCTATAAAATTTCGAATCAGCGTCTGAACAAATAAAATATTAATATTTTTAAATAAATTTATTATAAAATAATTATTTAATTTAATATTTTATTATTTAAATCAATTTTTTATTTATTTAGATCAAAATTTGGAACAAATTTTCGGAGGATGAAGCATTTTTTTTATAGATAAATATTATGTGAGTCCGTTTGGATAATTATTTTTAAAATAAGATTATTTCTGTAAAAAATTCAGGAGCAATTACCCTTTAATGGTTGTATAAATATTCAATTCTCACAAAAAAAAATTCAATATTTTCTATTAAATTTTATTTTGAAAATTATCATTAAATAAAAATGTATTATTGTTAATTTATCATATTTTTAATTTTTATTAATATATTAGTATACTATTTAATATTTTTTTGGTAGATAGTTTTATTTTGAAAGTTATCATTAAATTAAAATTTATTGTCATTAATTTAACATATCTACAAAATGTTATACCTATTTAATTAAAATAAATATTTAATTTACTTAACTTTTAAATAAAAATAATTATAAAGATATATTCATAAATAATTTAGTAAAATAATATGTAATTAAGTAAAAAAACTTTTATTCTTTAAACTTAAAAAATAAAAAAATTTAATTTAATTTTTATTTTTTTTGCATAATAAAATTGGTAGAAAAATTCGTAAAAAATATCATTTATTAAAATATTGTTAAATATTAAAATAAGAAAATTCCTGGAATTTTTCCTACAAATATTTATCCAAAAAAAAAATCTATATAGCAGCATGTAGACTGATTTCTATATAAAAATTGTTAGAAACTTTGTGAATTATTTTCATAAAATTATTCGTAAAAAGTTCCTGTAAATTTATTGTTGTAGGAAAATTCACAAAATATATTTGCAGATATTTTTAATTTTTTTAAATAATTTTTTTTAAGAATAATAAATTCAAATTCCTTATTCATATAACATAATAGATAACATTTTCTTCATTAAAAAAAAGAAGAAAAAAGGACAGGACAGGACAGGATAGCAGTCATTTTACCGTGGGATCACCGGGATGTGAATTATGTGAATGGTCCCCTCAGTGGTCCTACGAAGCACAGAAACTTCCCTGAAGTGTTGGACACATTTTTACCCATTCAAAAGTTTGTGGGACCACATTACACATTTATTAGGCCACGTCCAATAGGATTATTTATAACTTACTTCACTTTTAACAAATTTTTTTTATGAACGGTTACTTATATAAGTAATTTTGATAAATTTTAAATAATTTATTTACTTTTTTTTAGGCTAATGTGACAAATAGAATTGTTTCTAAACAATTCCATTAAAAATATTCTAAATTAAGTTTTTAATAATTTTTTTTTTAATGAACCTGAACACTGAACTGACATCTCTATGATCTTATACAAATCAGAGACTTGACAACCCACACCTTTATATTAAAATATAAATACACATTAATATTAAAAATTCAAATTTTAAAAATCATCTTATATTATAAATACAATTTCTCTCATATTTTTTGACTTATTATGATAAAAGAAAAAAAAAACCTTGCAAAATCATCATAAAACGAGTTATTTTTTACATAACCTATAAAAACCTGTATTGGAAAATGGTACTGTTGCAGGCAATAAATGATGAATCACTGGTGCACCACGTACGTTATTTGGACTTCAAACTAAATTAATTATTAATCCAACTGTCCAATAAATGCCATAAATAATTATCAGTGATGTACATGTACAACAATCAAAATATTAAATGCAATGTCAGATTGCCTGATTAACAAAATGAAAAAAAATAATAATTGGTTTTATTTTTCAATAACTTATATTTAATAGTGATTCAATTAATATATATTTTCACATATTATTTAGATAAAATTTAAATTAAAAAATAATATTCCTTTTATATTTTTTTCATAATCATTTTGAAACTATTTTTTTTATTTTTTTCATTATCACTTTTGACTTAATAAATTTTTTATTTTTTTAATAATTAATATATGTTCACTAAAATATATTTATTTATTTTTAATTTATCCATTTCTTCTCTAATCACTAAAAGATATAATAATAAAATAAATATAAATATTTAAAAAAATTAAAATATCAATCATTCTCAAAATCTATTATTAAAATGCAATAACAAAATTAAACATTACATTTGCCGTTGAATCCTTATTTAAAACCCTAGAAACAAGATCTCAAAATTCCAAATCAACATTTTCCATTACAACTTTGCAATTTGAGTGCAAGACTAGAGAGTGCCTTGGTGGAGGAGCCATGTTCACTCATCGCACGAGCAGCCTTAACACTAAGAGATTCAACCCTTTTGCGCATGTGCAAGCTCTCATCTCCTTCCATCACCACCTTGATCACCCTTGCAACTTCTTCCCTTTTCACCAGGCCACTTTCACCATCAACCCTAGGCCTCACAGCCACTTTGAGCACACCACATATGGTCGTGGCGTTCATCTTTTGCTCCGCAAACAAAGGCCACGCGATCATGGGCACCCCATGCACCACACCCTCCAACACCGAACTCCAACCACAATGTGTCAAAAACCCACCCGTGGATTTGTGTCCGAGCACTTCAACTTGTGGGGCCCACGAGGGAACCACCAACCCTTGTCCTTTAACCCTTTCCAAGAACCCACGTGGTAAGTAATCCAAAGGGTCGTCCTTTTGCCCCACGAAATAAGCCGAACTAGAGACTTTGTTTGGGACCCTAACCACCCATAAAAATTTGTGACCACTTAGTTCCAAGCCAAAGGCTATCTCGTTGAGTTGGTCGTGTGAGAGGGTCCCACCACTCCCGAAAGAGATAAACAAAACGGAATTTTTAGGCTGGTTTTCGAGCCATGAAATGCACTTTGACTCGTTTTGTTGACTCCTTGACTCGGTCTGAATTATTGGTCCAACGGGGTAATAGTAAACACAAGGAGTACCATTTGCTTTTGGTTTGGTATTTTCACTCTCTTCCAGGACAATATGATCGAGACTAGTTTCTCGAGTTTCTTCAGCTAGACTCAATTGTCGTTGGTGCTCTTCCATGGCTCTTATGGCATCATCTTCCAAATCGGTGAACGTGTTGAGTATGACACCATCGGCCATAGAGAGTCTTTGGCACACACGAAGGAATGCTTTGTAGGTTTCAGTTGATCTACCAAAAAGAACAACCGGGTCGGGAAGATCTTCGACATGGAAGGGAACACCACACCCGGGGAACTTCACACTTTTTGTGGTGTCCACGATGAACTCGGAGGTGGTCCTTTGGTCTAGTTGGGGCAAAGAGAGGCAAAAGGCAAGTGAGGTGGCGCCCGAGGTGGAGAAAAAGTAGGACAAGAGGTTGAATTTTTTGGCCATTGGGAGTGCATCGCTTGAGAAAAGGTCGCAAACTAGGGCAACGAGGTGGGTGCGGGAAGAGAGGGAGGTTAGGGCTTGTTGGAGGGAAGGGAGGGAGTGTTTGACGGTGAGTTTCATTTGCGTGGCGAGGTGGATGTTGGGAGGGAGGTCTTGGAGGTTGACTTGGGGGAGAATGGTGGAGTCTATGCTTGGTGGGAGTGTGTCTAGGATTTCTTTGGTGGAAGGGGTGGGAGGGCCAAGTGTGGGAATGAGGATTGTGACTTGGAAGTTGGGGTGTTCAAGGATTAGTCTTTTGGAAAATTCTACTATTGGGATCAAGTGGCTTAGGCCAGGGCAAGGAACCATGGCTATGCATGTTTTCCTCTCCATGGTGATGGGATTCATCCACAATTTCGGATTTTGTTGTGGAGATTCTTTTATAGGTGAAAAAGTCGCAGCTTGAGGAAATTGTTTAAATTTAAGGTAGAAATAGATTAAACAATTGGGTATACAATTCTCTTAATTTAAGATACTTGAAAGATCCTAATGGGTTGACATACTAGTTAAACATCCTAATGACTAGTTAAACATCGTAATGGATTGACATACTAGTTAAGCATTCATTTAAATACGAACAAAATTTCACGTCATCAAAACAATTGGTGTATAAGTGTGAATGAGTCTCAAATTGAATAAAGTTTAATAAGTACTATATAAATGAGAAAAATTCATAAATTAACTTAATGACCATTAAAATATACTGTGGAGTTAATTTGATTGATTTCTTCATCACTTGTTAATAAAGTTTAAACTCTCCTCTTGTTCCCAATACATTTTGTGTTGTAAGAATAATTTATTCAGTGAATAATCCCGTCTTTAATCACATTTCTATGAAAATCGTTGAAATTGGCAAAAGTTTTGTGTTAACTCAAATGATATTAATCTTTGACATAGTGTGGGGGAAAAGAAGTATATTTAAAGATAATCACTGAAGTTTTTTAATTGCACCAATAATTTAAGATGAAATTGTTTAATCCTATTTTTGTTGATGGTGGACAACTCCTAACTAACCATGCTACGGTGCAAAAAAATAATGAGATCTTTTAATAATTAATGCTCGTTGCCGTAGCATGAGTTTGCATAAACAGAGGAGTTGTACAAAGTAAACTCCTTAATTTCCTCTTTTTTCTCACATTACTCATCGTATCCATTAGTAAAACATAATATCTTATTCGTACTACTCCAACCGACCTTATAAATTAATATGCATTGAAGGGTCAGAACAATACACCTCTTCCTTAATCACTTTTCTATAAAAAGATGTATATTTTTCTTTCTGATGAATTAAAAATTATACATTTCAAAGTTGCCAGGTAGGTATCCAATGAAGTGCATAAATAGGAACAACCACATAGTGACACAACCCACTTGCTATTCGCGATTCACGAACACAATTCAGAGTACTCATTTTTATATTTTTTTTCTTCTTTCTTTTATCTTGTTCATTTCAGAAGTTTTCTTAGGCATAAAGTGATAAAACTAATTTTATAATTAATTTTAAAGTCACATCATTTATATTGCAATATTTTATAAAAACAAATATTAGCAAGATTTAATATATTTTTCATCAAACACAAAAATCATTAAAATATTTTAACTTGAATCGTTTTCTTAATATAAAACTAAATATATAAAATTTCAAATAAAATCATATTATTTAATGTTTCAACACGATTTTAAAATTATTATAAAAAATATTACATATAAAAAATGTTACATATAGTGACATGTAAAAATATCATTATAAGTATAACATATATATATAATATGATTATATATAATTTTAATGTTGATTTTAAATAAAATTTAACAATATATTTTGTGTCATTATAATTTATATTCATATTTTTAATAATATATTAATATATATTATATTTATTATATAAGTAAAAATAATTTTTAATAATAATTTTTATATTATTATAAGGTGTGTATTGGTGTATGATAAAAATTTTTTATAATGAATGTCGAATATAAAATCAAATACGAAATATATAATTTATTTTACAAACATGAAAGCATCCAAACATTTATAATAAGTTGAAAGTATACTTTGACTTAGCTAGCGGAAACGAAAAAAATAAAGTATATGGTAGTCGGTCAAAATAATTGATCAATAATTGTATTAGGACAATCAATATTGAATTAAAATGTCATGATCCAAAAATCAAAATAATAAAGCCGCCATTTAGCTGATGGCTTCAATGTTCAAACATCCTTTAAAAATATATATATATCCACAACAATTAATATAACATTATTATTATTATTATTGTAACGACCCATTATGATCGTTATATTGCGGAATAACACAACACAAGATACTACTGAAATATATACTAACATAGTATAATAAGAATATTTACAACACAAATTGTTAAGCAAACAGCCAAAAACATTCAATTATATACAAAAAAATATGCTACTTAGTCTACAAAAGAAACATCGACTTCAGGTACTTTCTATGGCTTCTAATAACTATCTCTTTGTAACGACCAACCGTGATCTCTACACTTAGTGGAAACGTACTATTCATAGTAAACTAAGATGGAGAATAAAATTGAATAACTCATAAATATAAAAATACGAAGAAAAAAAATATGAGAATCATTTATTATTTTAAATATATAGTACTTATACAATTATCCAAATCTAACATCTCCTAGCTAGTGCCGGTCAAACATAATAACTGTTATCCAAAATGGTAACTCTGACTCTAAAAACCAAAACAAAATTCCACTTCTAGCAGCGGACACAGCCAATAGCTCCAACCTAATCCTAATCTGCTCCCATACACAGTATTATCATGGCAGTCCATCCACATGGAAACAGAAGGGTAAGCTAGAGTTCAATAAACAATCATACAAGTATAAGATAATACTATACTACTCGTTCATCCAATCATCATCACAACGCAACCACACAGTTCAACATAAAAACTCAACTCATTCATACAACTTAGAAGCAACTTTAATACAACAACAACAACAACAACATACAACTTAAAATTTAATGCGTCGTCACACATATACAACTAGGAGATCTATAACAACTGAGGTTGAGCAGTCTAGGTGGCGTAAACCCTACCGAATCCAACGTTTGACCAATCTTAACCAGGTCAGGTATAGAACATTGTTAGGAACTCCGAAGAGAACTAGGTATAGACAACAATAGGCGATTTCTCAAGTGTGCCACTTAGACTCGGAGATCCAGTACTACTGTCAGGGCAAAAGAGTTTGGGTATGAGCCTACCATGGCCTTGGCTAGCATCACCAATCCACATATGGAGTTAGCCACCCATTGTCCTCCAAGTACCATGCACCCTCCAGTACCTAGTCAAAGACTACATCTCTAACTAGATACCTTACAAAAATTGGTCATTCAACCATGACATGGATCGACTACTTCCACAACGCCCACACAGTACTAAGGGATTTAACTTTAAAACAACTTTCAACCTATCACCTTAGTACTATGTATCTTAACATAGGACATATATCTTCACCATATGTCCCCAACTTTTCAACTTTACAATAATGCGACAATAGGCATCTTACAAGTTACAACAATAGGCAACTTATAACAATACAACAATAGACATTTTACAACAATAGGAAACTTACAACAACATAACAATAAACATCTTACAGCAATAGACAACTTACATCAATACAACAATAGGCAACTTACAGCAATACAACAATAAACATCTTATATACCAGCTTGACAACTTTCTATTCAACTATACCACTATACAACTTTAATAATTTTAACAACATGTGAACAACTTAATTCCATCAATTACGCAACATATAAGCTTCATACAGTTCAAAAATAAACTCAGATTCAACAAACAACAAATCAACTCATTAAAATCATCAAAAATCCCGTTTTTCCCAAAACCCTAAAAATGAGGAATTTCTTTAATTCAACCACTTCTCAAAATCATACATCAATGGAGTTTCCAATTTTCCTGAAATTAAACAACCTACATTCTAGCTTCCCTCACCTGAAAGTTAGCTATGAAAAGCCAAGAATTAAGAAGAATGAGAAGAAGAAGAAATATCTGAGCTCGACTCTTGAACTTAAATCCTCCAAAAGTAAGTTTTCTAGTCTGAAATTCAAGGGAAGACAGAAGAATTAGTGACCTAGAGGAGAAGAAGAATTATACAAAGAAAGTTGAGAGAGAATCAAGCTCACAAACCTAGAGTCCTTCTCTCTAGAACCTCTCTCTAAAACCTTGCCTCCTCAGCTGCACATAGGTCCTATTTATAGAAATTTAGGAGTGGCCAGAACGGCCCGTTTCAAATCCGGAACGGCCCGTTCTGAACTCAAATATCATGTGTAAAATTTACATCCAGAACGGTCCATTCTCAAACCAGAACGAGCCGTTCTGGGGTTGAATTTTTACCCATAACAGCCAATTTGGAACGGCCCATTCTCAACTAGGTTTTTAAGCCAATTTCGTAGTTTGGAACGACCCGTTCCAGTTTGGGAACGACCCGTTCTGGGCTACTAAATTACCCTTGTTTTAGTAGTTTGGAACGACCCGTTCCAATTTTGGAACGGTCCGTTCTGGGCTACTAACTACGTTACAATACCTCCCAACAAACAGGAATTTTCGTCCCCGAAAATAGGCTTACCTGCAAAGAGGAATGGATACCGTTCCTTGAATTGACTCTCCACCTCCTAGGTCGCCTCACCAGTAGCTGCATCCCTGTCGCAACCCAGATTTTTCCGATCTTGCGACTAATGGTTTAGACATCTTTTTAAAGATCTCATTAATTAAGGAATGCCCGGACACCAGACTAATCCTTAATTAATGGTTTTGAAAATAGGTTCTATGGAGTCGCCACCAATGTTTTACTCAAAACATTGGAAAAATAAAAGGTTTTTTAAAAGTTCAATAATGGCCTTGATAACCAGAATTGGGTTCGGGGGTCGGTTACGTGTAAGGAAGGTATTAAGCACCCCTACAACGCCCTCAATCGGTACCCTATGATGAAGTTAATGAGATAAGAAATAATAAATTAAATATTAGATCCCCTTTATGAATTACTATTTACATGCTTGAAATTTAAATTACACGGTAAACCCTTAAAATATCTACATAATTGCGTTTATTATAGTAATATATAAAATAAAAGAAGAGAAAGATAAAACAAGAGATTGATGAGTAATACCTCGTAACAAGCTTTATTGGATCTTCAACTATGGAGGTTTTAGGTGCTTTGTGGCAACCTTTCACACTACAATAAGCCTCACAAAACTCAAGAAGTACAATAGGAGA